AGAGAGCTAGAGTTGTTGATGGGATGCATTCTTGTGTCTTCGGAAAACACTGAAAATGAAATTACTGAAAACAAATTTTTTTCATTTTCAAATTTTGTTCACAAAGTCAGATTTGTTTTCAGAAAACGTTTTGTGAGGGAAAAAGAAAACGATGCACCGAACGTGTTTTTGTGAAAAACAGGAAACAAAAACAGAAAACAGGCTTTAAAAACATTACCGAACGAGCCCTAAATATCCCAGCCGCATCTGCTCAAAACCAAAAACTCGGCCGCATATTCATACTTTTATATTCATTTATATATATAATATATAAAAGCAAAGAGGTTTCAACCTAAATGAACTTCAGCCGCATTTTTACAAGAAAACCCAAAGATTCTTGCCCAAAGAAATCCTGCCGCAACCAACATTCAAAGATATGCCCGAGATTTTCCTATAGTTTCGGCCGGACCTAGCTAGCTTCTCAACTGCATCTTGTGAGGCCCAACTGCATCTAATTCTCGGGCAACAAGGCTCTAAGGCTCCAACAATTTCGGCCACTCCCCAGCACCATTTCGAAAAGACCCGGCCGTAAACCCTTCCGCCAAGTTCGAGCTATCCAAAACCCGGCCAAGATTAATCTCCAACAATCCCGGGCATATAAGCTATGGAATTCCAGCCGCCATACGAACCCCGGCCGCACCTTGAGCTCCAGCCGGGATGTGGCGGATTTTTTGACAACCCCAAACAAGTTGATAAATCTTTCGGAAAGGATATATCCAAATATATACAAAGAGTGTTATAAAAAAATATAGTTTTCCTTTTCCGTAAAACCAAATACAAAATATTTATATTATAAATAACATGTAAACAAATTAGAAAGCTTTTAAGGTACAATGAAATTGAAAAAAAACAAATTAATAGGTAGGTAAAATTAAAATAAATAATATAGTTAATTACAGTTTAGTACCCTGAACTTACAACGTTAAGGCATGTTAGTCCCTGCCTTTTTCAATTTTAACAATCGCATACCCCGAACTTGTAAATTTGTTACAATCTGATTCCACCGTTAGGGTTTCCGTCAGTTGTACCGTTAGTTGCTGATCTGGCATTGATGGGGCCCACTTATCTGCTAGTTTCGAAGTCCTCCCAAGGGCATTTTCGAACTTGGATTTTTCCCTTTCCCGCCCTCCAACCCTTATCTTCAGATTAAGCCCACGTGGCATAGGGTGATTGGCTTGCAACTCAGAAATTTTTAAAATTTCTGTAACTCGTCGTTCATATAGCTTGATAGGAACAAAAACCCTAAGTTCCCAAATTCTCACACCAAATATCTCCAAATCCTCAAATTTTCTTCGTGAAGTTATGAAAGCTGGAATGAGTGAGACGCATCGATGCTTTTGTGGTGGGTTTGCTCGACTGGAAACCTCTTGGACCAAAGATAATCCAGGGAGAAGATTCTGGACATGCTGCCGCAAGGTAATTTCAGTAAATTCTTTGTTATTTGGGTGTAAGGGTTTGAAATTGCAAGAATTTTTGAATTGGGCGATTATTTAAGTTATTTACCTTATGTTGAGCAGAAAGGGTGTGGGTATTTCGACTGATTCGATCCTCAAATGTGTGCTCGGTCAAAGATGATAATTCCTGGGTTGTTGAAGAGGATAGATAAGGCTAATGATGAACTGAAGAGTTCGCGCAGGAGAGAGAAGCTACTTTGGTTTTTGATCGTTATTGGCGTCCTTGTTGACGTGCTCTCAGCAAATGCAACTCAACATAATGGTTCAAGTGGAACAAAGACAATACTAGAACTTGCTTGATGGTTTCAATTGCTTTTTGTGTACTGCAGGTTTTTGTAAGACCATTAATTGGTTGTAATGAAATGGGTGGTATGAAATTGGTTGTAATGAAATGGGTTGTATGAAATGTGAAATTGGAAATTGACGTTCCTTTTGCAAATTGGCATATCACATTCGTTTTGCAAATTTTCCAAAATGAGTGCATTGATCTTAGCTTGCCAACATAGTCCCTGATGATACAAAAGAAGAGAAAGAAAGACAGAATGCATTAATCTTAGCATGCTAACAAAATAATAAGATTGCATTACACCGAAATAATAGTGCATTACATGAAGCATTTCATACCCAAAAGGTCAAAACCTACCAGGCTCTAATACAGTTTGTCCATAACCAAAAATACAATTATACCAACTGCTGCCAAAAACTGTAATATAGTTTCTCCTTGGCCAAAATACATTACCAAATATGAGTCAGACCAAAGCTAGCAAACAACCACATATGTTTGTCCATACAAAACCCTATTTGATCCTATACACCTTCCAATACAGTCTGTCCATACAAAACACATTGGCCAAAACACTTGCAAATACAGTCTGTTCATACAAAACCCTAATTGATCATACACTCCAGTTTGTGATTCTTGGACAGAAGCATAATTGCTGCCTGTGGTGTTCCTTCGTTTAGTCATTTTCCTCCCTCCAATTGGATTGTTTGAATCTGATGTAGACGTTGCTACATTTTCTGCCTTTTTTTTGTCTTTCTTTTCCTGAAAAAACAAACAAAGACAGAATGCTATCACCTATGTCACAGTTCCCATCATTCCAACAAGCAAATACAATGTGTAAAGTGCAATTACCTTCAGTACTTGAGCTCTTTGCTTTGCCTTCTATCTCATTTGATTCTTCCTCTCCATCTCAGCATCATAATTGTCAGGAATAGAAGCTGGGACAGAACTTCCAACAGCAGACTTAGCCTTGGTGGTATTGGACACTTCAAAGTAGTATTGGTGGTTTTGACCAATGTCTTGGTGGTCTCTCTGGAGCTGTTTCACATAAATAACATTTAGATTAGTAAATGTACATTGAGTTAAATTATAGAAAAATAATTGTGGTTGCAAATGCTCTTAAAACATTACCTGTTAGCCATGTATAAGCTTCACCATCTAATGTCCTTAACAATTCCCTTGTCCTTCTAAACTCTGGAACTGTGGTTGAAAATGTAGCCCTCCACATTGCATCCTTCAAGAATTTTCCCTTATACACCAAACTGAAGTTTGTAGATAGGAGCCTTGCACAAAATCTGTGATCACAATTAGGCACGACTTCCTCAAAAGCCTCCACTAAGCCTTTCTACTTATCACTTATGAATGTAGACCCATATTGGTTTGTGTGGGGACCAAATCTAACTTATCATGGCTTAGCCCATATGCCACGACTAAAGGACATGGGATGATCGAACTTGCCTCCCACTAGAGGAGTGCGGAACAAGGGAGACGCAAACCACTCATCTGATCCCATTACCACGAAGTGGAGGATGGGATGCGCAAAGCTAGGGAAGTGGGGCTAGACCCAAGATCTTGGAACGCTATAAAAATCCAGCTAGACCTCCAACAAAGGTATGAAAAATCCAATTGAACACTAAGAGTACGTTGTGCAAAACTGACTTGAGCGTTGGAGTGACTTTTGCAGGTATTCACCCCATTTCCATCGTCTGACTTCGGGAACGTAATCTGGAGTTCTCTTTCGACCAAGAAACCTACGGACTTCAGTCAAGAACCTGTGGAGGTATTTCTTCTTGAAAGAAATCCTTCTCCAACAGTCAGCACTATCTGTGGGAATCTCGCAAAGTTGATCATAAACATGACTGAACCTGCACAGGGAACTTCAAACACCTCCGTCCTAGGGAATGCGATGTCCACTCCTCGATCCAGAAGCGCAACCCAAGATGGGAAACCAAGCCTTGTTGTTATCTAGTTGAGGGAAATCATGAAGGAGTTGCGCGAAACAAGAAAGGTAGCGGAAAAGGCTCTGGAGAAGGCGCAAAACACTACTTGCCGTGAGGGCTCAAAAAGGGCAAGAGGAAGCAAAGACATGAGATCTCCGAGGGAGACTCTTCCAGCAGCACACACTCGAGTGTCCGTGACAAGGCCACGGCGGAAGATCAAGACGAAGATCTCGACTTACATAAGATGACAAAAAAGGCTAAGGACACCGATTTGTGCAATCAGATCGAGAAGATTGTTAGAGGGTACAAGCCGCAAACACCCGTTGAACTAGCTCTAGAAGCAGCGAAAGGAATCTGCAAGTCTCCATTCACGGAAGACATCCTGAAAGCCAAGAAGCCAGTTAAGTTCACCCAACCTAAGTTTAAGTTGTTCGAGGGCACGACTGATCCCATTGAACGCATCTATCATTTCCAACAACAAATGGTGCCCGAAGGAGATGACGAGGCCCTGTTATGTAAGTTGTTCCCCTCAAGCTTGTCAGGGCCAGCCCTGATTTGGTTTAGACAGCTGAAACCAAGGTCTATTGGCGGTTTCACCCAACTCTGTGGGATGTTCATATCTCAGTACATTTGCAGTCACAAGAGAAGAAAGGACGTCAGGATCCTATTCAACACGAAGCAGAGTATCGGAGAAAGCCTTAAAGACTACTTGAGGTGTTTTACAGAGGAAATGTCTACTCTTGAAGAATGTGATTCTCATACTGCTTCGCTGACATTTCGTGAAGGGGTCATACTTGGAACAAAAATGCACAGGTCTTTAGTGAAGACCCCACCAGTGGATATGAGGGAAGTGATGGCCCGGGCGGATGAAGTCATCAGACTGGATAGAAGAAGAGCTCACCCAATCAAAATACGCCACTTCCACCATTGTAGTCCCAAAGCCTCCGCCGGAGCAAAAGGTGGAAACGAGGCAATATCCCTCGAGACAAGAATCTAGCAATGGACCTAAGCAAAGCCAACCCATCACCAGGCTCACGGTGAGCTTAGCCAAACTTTTCACGAGAACAAAGGCAAAGGTATATTTCAAACACCATCTCCGATCTGCAAATCCCCAGATAAGCGAGATAGGAATAATATGTGCGCCCATCATAACGACCTTGGACACACCACTGATGAGTGCTGAAGTCTCAGGTATCAGGTGGAGACAATGCTGAGAAAGGGAATGCTATCCCAGTACCGCGCTGAACCTGAGAGTAGGGCAAGTTAAGAGGGTGAGCAAAAATAATGACCGAAAATATCGCAAACGAAGAACTACTGGAGATCAACACCATCCATGGTCGACCGAATCCCGTCCAAGGAAAAGGGGCTCGATCCCGATTCGAAAAAAGACGGGCTGAAAAGGTGAGACACATAAATGGAATCACATCCACCTCTGAATCTGCCAAAGCCTTGGAAAATATTAGAGTCATCTCATTCACACAGAAAGACATGGAAAGAACTGAGTTCCCTCATAATGACGAATTAGTGGTGACCCTCCGCATTACCAATTCGATGGTAAAAAGAGTGATGATCGACGGGGGGAGTAACGCAGACGTGTTATTCTGGAGCACCTTCCAAAGAATGAAGCTAGACGAAAGGGAGATTCAACCAAACCCAACACGGATCTACGCATTTGAAGGGACGAAAGCACAACCGATTGGAGACGTGACTCTGCCGGTCATTGCCGCAGGTAAGACCCTACTCGTTACTTTCGTAGTTGTGGATGCGCCGAGCTCATATAATGCTATAATGGGAAGGAATTGGATTCATCGAATGGATGGAGAAGCATCGACACGTTGCCAAGTGATGAGATGCATATCTGAGGATGGCAGAACCACAGTTGATATCAAAGGGGATCAAGTGGAGGCCAGAAGATGCTACAGCATAGCAACTAATCTTAAGGTTGCGACCTCGCATCAAAGCAAGGATTTAAAGCAATAAATGGAGGACCCATCAGAACAAGAGGAAGAGGATAACTCATAGCTTCCGACGATCGAACCACTCAAAGAGGAAGTTCTGGATCCTTCTTATCCTGATAGAAAAGTGTTGGTGGGCTCCCTCTTATCTGAAGATGAGGTAGAACAACTAATGAAGTTATTAAGAGAGAATAAGGACGTGTTTGCGTGGTCACATATCGACATGTTGGGGATCGACCTAGAGATCGCGTGTCATTAGCTGAACGTTGAACCAAACCACCCTCCGTACCAGCAGAAGTAAAGGAGGTTCGCACCTCAGCGGAACCAAATTATTAGCGATGAAGTGTACTGATTGCTCGAGGCCGGATTCATTCGAGAAGTGTGGTGTCTAACCTAGGTCTCGAATATGGTGGTAGTAAGTAAAAAGGATGGGAGATGGCATGTATGCATGGACTACATCAACTTGAATAAAGCGTGCCCGAAAGACTATTATCGAATACCAAAGATCAATCAAATGGCAGATGCTACTGCCGGGTGTAAACTTCTCTCATTCCTGGATGCTTATTCGGGATATAATCAAATCCCAATGGCAATTGAGGACCAGGAAAAGACGGCATTCATCACTTAGCGAGGCTTGTATTGTTACACAGTGATGCCATTCGGGCTAAAAAACGCAGGGTCGACGTATCAGAGATTAGTAAACAAGATATTCAAAAGCCAAATCAGCAAAACAATGGAGGTTTACATCGATGACATGGTTGTGAAGAGCCAGGAAAAATCCCAACATATCACGCACCTGGAAGAAGTCTTCAATATACTGAGAAGATACAGCATGCGGCTTAACCAGAAGAAGTGCGCATACGGCGTTTTGTCAGGGCAATTCTTAGGGCAAATAGTGAACAAGCGAGGCATCGAGCCCAACCCATCTAAGGTGGAGGCACTACTAGTATGCCTGACCTAAGAACACCTAGGGATGTGCAGGTTTTAACTGGGCGAATAGCGGCTCTCATCATGTTCATTTCAAGATCGTCAGATCGTTGTAAGCCATTCTTCCAGGCCATTCGAAACAAGGACGGAAGGGTATAGGGGCCAGAACAAAGAAAAGCCATTGAGCAGCTGAAGAAGTACCTCGCTAATCCCTTGACCCTGACCATTCCAAAGCAAGGTAAACCTTTATACCTATACATGGCTGTCACTGAAATTGCTGTAAGTGCTGTACAGCTAAGGGAAGAAAATTCAATCCAGCAACCCATATTTTATGTGAGCAAGAGCTAAATTGAGGCCAAGAAGAGATATCCAGTAGCTGAGAAACTCGTGCTAGCTTTAGTGACGGCTAAGCGGAAGCTTCGACAATACTTCGAGGCACACACGATCATCATATTAACGACCCAACCAATCAGGGCGGTCATGTCTAAACCAGACCTCTTAGGAAGAGTTACAAAGTAGGCTATCGAGCTTGGAGCATTCGACAGTAGATATCAACCTCGGACAGCCCAGAAGGGCCTGGTAATTGCCGATTTCCTAGTAGAATGCTATCCACCTAACAAACAATGGGAAAACCATGATAAAATCAAGGAGGCACCAATCCTGGATATGGCCCAATGGGAATTGTATATAGACGGTTCATCTAATCAAGCGGGAGCCGGAGTGGGAATCGTCCTCTCGTCGCCTGAAAAGGTGGACTTGGAGTACTTCGTCCGATTAAACTTCCCCGCTTCAAACAACGTGGCAGAATACAAAGCCCTGGTGGTAGGGCTCTAATTAGCCAGGACGTTGAAGGTGGGATGCTTAGTTGTCCATAGCGACTCTCGCCTCATAGTCGGCTAGACAACTGAGGAATATGCGACTAAGAATGAACGAATTTGGGCATTTCAGCAGTTGGTAAAGGAATTAGCCAGCAGGTTCAAAAAAAATAGAGTTTGAACAAAGACCGAGAGAAATTAACGTTCAGGCATATCGCTTAGCCCACGCCACATCAACATCAATGGAAGACATGAGGGTCGCCCCAGTGGAACTCTTATCGAGTCCCAGTATACCAATTGATCCTGGAGTTATGCAGATTGATGCTGAAGAAGAAACGTGGATGACTCCAATCATGAACTATATCACGAAGGGAACCCAACCCAATGACCCGATCGAAGCAAAGAAATTACGAATAAAGGCCGTAAGGTACACCATCATAGATGATACACTTTTTCGTAAGCCTTTTTCAGGGCCATATATCAAATGTCTCGATCCACGTGAAGCCGAATGGGTGCTAAAAGAAATTCACCAAGGGACATGTGGGAATCACACGGGTGGAAAGAGCTTAGCCCACAAAGCGCTGAACCAAGGATATTTTTGGCCTTACATGGCCCGCGATGCAGAGCGGTTTTCACGAAAATGCGATAAATGTCAAAGGCATGCACCCTTTATCAGACAACCAGCCGAGGAACTTAACCTGGCCATTCACCCACTGGGGTATGGACATCGTAGGACCACTTTCCACTGCAGTGGGAGGCAAGAAGTTTGTCATTTTGGCCGCTGACTACTTTACAAAGTAGGTGGAAGTCGAGGCTTACAAGACAGTAACCCAAATAGACGTGGTAAGATTCGTATGGCGGAATATAATTTGTCGTTTTGGGATACCAAGGGCCATCGTGACGGACAACAGAACCCAATTTGATAATCGTAAATTCAGAAGTTACTACGAGGAAAAATTGATCATTTAATAGTTCTCGTCCCAAAACTAATCGTACGATCTTTGATTGCCTGAAGAGAAAGGCTTGAACAATGCAAAGGCAAATGGTCAGGGGAACTGCCAAACGTATTATAGGCATACCGCACTACCAAAAGGGAACCAACCGGCGAAACCCATTTTTCCTTAGCTTATGGAACTGAAGCCGTCATCCCTACAGAAATCGGACTACGCACAGTTAGGAGACTGGTGGTAAAGAGCAATGATAATGAGCAACAACTAGCTCACAACCTTGACATGCTTGAAGAACAGCGAGAAGCCGCATCGTTACGACTTGCAAACTACCAGTACCAGGCAGCCAATTACTTTAATAAACAAGTACGACATTGGAAATTCAAAGCAGGCGAGTGGGTACTCAGAAAGGTCATGGAGAATACCAAGGACCTAAATGCAGAAAAATTTGGACGGACATGGGAATGACCATACGAGGTAATTGAGGCTTATGGAAAAGAGGCCTATATGCTGATGCATATCGAGAGCGGTCAATATGTACCATGCCCTTGGAATGCAATTCATCTGAGGAAGTATTTCATTTGATTTTATAGTTTTCATTTCTTTGTTGCTTTCATTTTTCGCTTATTTGTGAATTTTCCCTAAATTGTCCATCGTTCGATGAACGCTTAATGGAACGCATGTTTTCTTCACATTCAAATTGTTGGGTCGAAGACCATGTCTGTTTAAATTAGCATCACCTGAATTCACGTGGTCGAAGACCTTGTAAACAAGAAAATACATATACTAATCCACGAACACGGAAGGCGCTTGGCCAAGAAGCAAAAGTACGATTGAAGATCGCAATCAAGATGTGGTCAAAGATCACGCATAAAGAAACGATTGGAAATCGCGCGTAAAGAAGTAATCGGAGATTACGACATGATTGGGGATCAGGACATGGTCAGGGGTCAAGCAACATGAATAAGAATACACAGGTGACAAGGTCGAAGACCGCATGAATAAACATAACAATAGCATTAGGCTCTTATGGCCGCAAAAGGAAAAACATAAAATCTTTTTAGGAGGAATGCCTCCAAATTATTCAAAGCTGAAAAATGCATAAAATTACTGAGTCTACAGGTGCAAATCCATGAGTAACATAGGCTAGTATGATGGCAAGGGGAGACGATCTCAATCCACGTAAGGATAAACCATTTTTGCCTTAGTGCGGAAGTGGTGGATACCCTGTCTAAATCTGTCACGTATGTCGTCGGAATGAGCTACGGACACGGCGCGATCTGCATCAGCAAGATCACTCCGAATGCGAGTCACTTGGGCACTAACGTATGCCAGATCCTCCTTAAGTAGGTCTCGCTCCATCAACAACATGTTATGGTCGAAGTGACAGGAGCAGCGTGGGGCACAAGACGGACCAGCTTCATCCTGTGCCCTTGGGGTACTCCTTCTTATAGTAGCCTTTCCCCCACCTCTGATATCACCATATCGGGACTTGGACCCACAGAACGAATTGGGAACTGCCGAATAATTTGAAACATCGGCTGGAGAGTCGGCGAAGGAATCCTGAGAGCATATCTCAATGATTCCATTAGCGCTCTTGTAATCTCTCTTAGCGGACTCCCTCCTTGATAGAGACAAAGTCCTCCTCCTCGGAGAGTCTCCTTTCTTCTGAACATCTACGCAAAGGCGGAAATGGAGCTTTAGCTTGCGTCTATGAGCCATAAGTGAGATATATATGTTCACCTGAAAACCGAATTACCCTTTATATAAAGGCTTACCTAGAGATGTAGAGGACGCCTGATAAGGTCGTAATGCGGGGATGATAGGATATCCAATCCCTTGCTTTTTGAATTTGAAAATAACTGTACACCCTGGGAGGATCTTGGCTAGGTTTGAAAAACTACCATGCTAAGCCTCAGGTAATTACGTTATGGTTAAGATTCAAATCAAGTGGATAACTTATAAAACCTGATAAAGCAAGTCTGGAATTCTAGGAATGTGACCCAAGATAATTAAGTACATCAAGCCAAAGATAGAACCGAACAGAAAATACAACAAGTACTAAACGAAACAAGGCAACCTAGGGCGCATCATCAAATGGGTCAGGAACGACATTCGAGGTAGGCCCAGCACAAGTGGAAAATCCAGCAGGTGAGGTGAAGCCCGTAAATCCAAGGACAGGCCCAGTACTGGCAATAGACGATGCAGCATTAGCACTAGGTACAATGTTCCCAACCGACCCAGAATGGGTTGACCTATGAAAGGCCGCTGGTGGGGTCCTGCGATGGGGGATATAATCCACAGGAGGACGATCTGCAGGGTGCATACCCTGGAAT